TTGTTAATTAGTTAGAGTTGTGTAATAGTTAGCTGTAGTTCGTTATTCATTTCATTGTGTAATAACTAGTTTAATTAGATTAGCTTAGATTAGCTAGTTAGCTTGTTATTCGGACCCTCCGTCGAGAGGCCAATTGTTGTAATAAGCGTTCGTGTGTGTGATGCATGTCTTCCAACTCCCATTTCTTTCTCCCTTTTATTTACCAACTTACGATAGTTAGTTTTAGGGCATGTTTCAATTAGCATCCTTATACTCGTATGTTTGCATCCATTCATCTGTCTTGCATGCATCGGGCTCGGCGCATCATACTAACTGCATTGTATTTCAATTCCTGTTTGAATACATGTATCAAATTGCATTTCACATGGCATTTTAGAATAGCTAAGCCTATCTTAGTTGCATTTTGTATGTATTGCATTAAGCATTCTTGACATAGCTAGGATCATGCATTGATTTCTAAACATAGCTTTTGTTTTGGCTCGGAGTACTCGGTGAGTGTTTATGCTTTAGCATCCTTGCATGTGTGTGAGTGATTTCCATGATAGCATGCTTGCCATGAGACTAACTGCTTATGTGATATAACTGCCTGAATGCCTGTAGGTGAAGGTTAGATTATTTGAATTGGAACAAATCATTAATTGCGAGTTTTAAGCCCACTTGAGAGTGGCAAATCACCATGTTTTCTAAGCTCACTTAAGGGTGGCAAAATCCGCATTTTAGCCTACTTGCGAGTAGCAAACCGCTTTAAAAAACAAACATGAGATGTTTTGTTCCAACTTAGGCGATCCAGTCTATACTTGTATGCTGTGCGCATCACATAGTAATTCTAGGTTAATAACCGGAATAAGAGCACATGTGTTTTCAAAAATAAGATATCATGTTTGTAAAGGCTGATCTTTGATTAGGCGAGCGGGGGTGCTCATTGCATGACCTTCCCCTCTCGTACCCAAGTTCCCGAGCCGCGACAACTTTGGTAATGACGGACACGTGGCCTTAGGCAACGTGTCAGGGTTTCCTAAATTCTCCCAAAATAAAATATTTAGGTGGCGATTCTGTATCTGGCAAAGCAGTCCATGTTTGGCACTTCTATCTAAAAATCTGTTTTTCAAAATGATTTGCTGGATTTGGACTCTTTGGTGATTTATCGATCTTGCATTGCACTTTGTGATATAGATTCAGAACCGTGACATTGAGTCCGAACTGTAGTGAGCCTAATGAACAAAACGGGATTTTTCCGGGACGTTCAGACGCTTCTACAGTGGGCTGTCCCTGGTTCAATTGAAGGGTTTCTTAATTGGTGGGGTGGGTTTAAATTTAAGAAGCTTGAGTGGATGATTTGGAAAAAAATTCCTGTGGCTGTATTGTGGTACATATGGAAGTGCAGGAATGACTGTGTATTTAGAGGAATTCAGCCACAGGTGATGGAAATCAGTGAGATGGTAAAAACTAGGGTAGCTTTGTGGGTTAAGTTTCATAACCCAAGCTTTGCTTTTTCTGTGCATGATCTGGTTCATAACCTTTAGCTGATTAGGGGCCAAGCATTGTGATCTTCAAGGGCTTGATGGAGTTGAAATCGGGTTTGAAGTATGCTTATAAGAAAATTGGAATCTGGTTTGATGTTAGAATTTGTTTAGGTATTGTATGCTGCTGTTAGCTGACTTATGCTAAGCTGATCTGATGATCTGGTCTGAAGTTGTTTGCTGATATGATGATATGCTAAGCTGATATGATGATCTGGTTTGATCTACAAGGGCTTGATGGAGTTGGAATTGGGATTGAAGTACATGGTTGTTCTATGCTTATACATGGCTTGGAGTTGTTTACTGCTGCTTGGAATGGCTGACTTGATGCTGTTGGAATGGCTGCTGATTTATGTTAATTAATTGTTTGTTTTCATGATTTGTGCCTTGCTACTGTTTGTTTTGAAGCTCTGTTGCTATTCTGTTTTTTTGGATTTTGGTTATTTTGATTGGTTTCTCGCCAATCTTGGGTTGAGTGCTTGCAAATGATTGTGCTTCCTTTGCGGTGCCAACCTAGTTGGGATTGTGGAAGTTTGCTATGATGCTGAGTGCACTCGTCTGTTTTGTTGATGTTTTGTTGAATGCAATTCGCTTTATAATCAATAAATCTTTATTTTGCTGATCAAAAAATAAAATAAAATAAAATATTACATTTAAATCATAATCATTTCACTTTTTCTCTCACAATTATCAAATCAACTATAAAAATAAAAAAAATAAAAATTAATTATCTTCTTAAACATAACTTTTTTAGCTAGACTAAAATAACCAAAAAAATTTAAAATTCAATTATTGTTTAAAGAATAGTCAACAATTTTTTTTTTAAATTTAAAATTTTCATTTTTGAGATTAAAAATTATTAATTAAATATTAAACATTTTTTTTAATATTTGGGGGGCTAATTGATTTTTAAGATATAGTTTTGGAGTAAAATGAAGTTCCAAATGAAATTTGGTACCACGTTAGCAAGTCACATTTGATTATAGACGGAATGTAACGGTAGGAGCCAAATTGATCAAAATTTCAAAAGTTTTGGGAATAAATTGATATTATACGAAGTCTGAGGTCAAATTGAAAACTGCGTGAAAATTTAGAATAACAAATGATATTTCTTCTATAATTTATGGGTGCTTATAATGTTTTTTTTATTCTATTTTGGGAGTTTGTACTTAATGTTCACTACAACTTTTGTTTTCATTTCGAGGCACTGGGCCTATAAGTCTAAATTTAAAATTTTTGAGATAATTGTCACAAATTTTATTCTTTTCTGTCTATAAAAAGAATAATAATTCATTTATCTGTTTATTTTTCCACTTGTTTGTTCATTGTTGCCACTAATGACTTTTTCAACATCGCCAAATTGGCCACTTTCTGACACTGGTAGTGATAATGGGAGGCGATTGATATTAGTATGTGAAAATAGAGGGAAAAAAATAAAAATTAAAAAAAGTACAAGGATAAAAAATAAAAATAAATTTTTTTATATAATGATTTAAACTTCTCACCAGTATATTTAGTTAATCATATGTTAAAAATCAAAACAAATCATTGTAGTATCTTTTTACTAATGATAAAATTCAAATATTTAAAATCAATTAATAATAATGATATAATAAATATCAAATCAATAAATAAAAGGGTAAATTACACTTTGCTCGCTTGATGTTTAGTCACTTTCTCGCTTTGGCCCTTAAAATTAATTTTTTTCTCACTATGGCCCTTCATGTTTCAAGTTTTATGTTTTTTCTGCTTTACTCTTAAAGTTAATTTCTGTTAAAAATTAGACAAAAAATGATATATTGACAGTCACGTAGTATAAAAATATTTTATTATATATGACTCACACTTCTAACACAAACTTAAATTCTAGGGGATTTTTTTTTAGGATCCCTAGTATTAAGATTTTATAGCATAAAGGACATCTAATAATTTCATAATGTTTAAGGTCCCTCAACATCGATCCTGAGAAAATTCAATTTAGAGAATTTCTCTGGACTTCACACTCCAGAAAATTTCTAGAAATTCCTCTGGATTTCCTACTCTCTAGAGAAATTCTGTATTTCCCAGAGAAAAACACCTCTTTCTCAAAATTCTTCACAATCTCAAGCTCCAATACCTTATCATCACCAGCCAAAGAAAATTACTCTCTTTAGTACGCAAATTAGGTGAAATTCACTTCTATGAACAATCCAAATCAATTCTAATACTTGTTTATCATTCCATATAGATCACCAAGCAAATTACCATTACATAAGATCATTTACAAACCAAAAGGAGCTACTTTAAAATCAATGAAAACAATACTAACTAAACAGAAAAGTAAACATTTATACAAATACTTAACGTGCATATGTCAAGATATATAAGATCACCAGAGAAAATTGTTTTAACCAAACTAGAGAAATTCTAGCACAAATTTCTCTGTGTTTGTACACAATTTTAAACCAGAGAAAATTATTTTAACTAAACTAGAGAAATTTTCCTTGATAAGAGAGAGAGAAGAAAAGGAGAGAGAATGAGAAAATAGGTGTTCTCAGAGTTGATCAGAACTTGCCACTTAGCAATCTGAACTACAAAATTAATTAAAACTATCCACAATTACAAACAAGCACAAAAACTATACTTGCGTCAAATTTCCTAATTCCAACAATTTCAACACACAATGCACACAAAAAAGAAAAAGTTAACCTTCCCAGAGAATTTCTCTAGATCCCAGTCTAGAGATTTTCTTGAATTTCCAGAGAAATTCTCTGGATTTTCTCTGGATTTCAAGTGAATCATAAAGCATAAAGTTTGTTTGGTTGCCAAGAAAAATAGGGCAAACCCCAACAAAAGAAAATAAATATCCAAATCATGAAGAGCAATTACATCAAAAAATAATAATTTTTTCGAAGCCCAATTTCTGTTTCGAAATTTTTCGTTTATCCATACTTGCACATTTTTCCTAGGAACCAAACAAAATGCCAAATCATTTTACTTAAATTGTGAGATAAATTATGAAATAATATCTAAAGTGCAATCATCACTAATCCAAACTGTAAATTTTAACATACGAATTCATATCTTTTAATGAAATGGCCCAAAACAACCAAATCACAATCATCCAGACAAGGTGTTTCAGATAACATAGCTGTGGTACTTTTCTGAAAACACACTACAGGAAAAAGGGCATATTGTAGCGTTTTTTTTGTGGCGTTTATGAAACGCCATTATAGATTAATTAAGCACAACACATTGAAGAAATCTTTGTCTCTCATCTCAGTTATACGGCGTTGTATTAGGTCAATTGATTGACTGTCCAAAGCTCTGTCTCTTTCAAAATGTCTCTCATTTTCTCTATCTCTTCCACAACTCAGTCCAAAACCCTCGATGTAAAGCAGTAGCTCTCGCTCTCACTGTCACTTTCACTTTCACTTTCACTCTCATCCTCAAACAAACTCACTCTCACTCGCTCGATTGCAATCCCTCTCACAGATCTCTCCCTTACACACCACTCTTCTCTCTCGCAATCAAACTCTCTAGCTGTTCTTCATCGATCTCTGTCGCTCGAGGGCTTTGCTCTAGCTGTTCTTCATCGAACTCGAACTCGATCTCGATCTGTTCTTCAGATCAGATCATTATCATTCTTCGATTCTCTTCTTCTCTCTTCGATCTCTTTGCAAACCTCTATCTCTCTCCAAACTCTGTTTGGTCTATCTGTGTTCGATCATGGAGATGAAACGTATGATCGAGTTTCCACACCCGTACATGGATCGTTGTCCCAGAACGAGGCCGCGTTTGGGTTGGGACGTTGCTCCTCAGGCCCTTAAGGTATCAAATATGTTCTCTAGATCTCTGATTTCATAATTTTTTTTCTTCATTTTTTTTATTCTATTTTTTTGCTAGATCTGGTCGAAATTAGATACGTGGTAGATCAGGTATGAGAAAAGGTTTATGCTTTTATAGATCTGTAAATTTCATGGCAGATCGGGTTTGGAAAAAGGTTTATTATTATTCACCCTAAGGAAACTGGCTCTCCAAATGTGTTGTGAGGATTACAATTGGATAATTTAGAATCCGAGATAGCGAGGGGCGTGGAAGTGATTATATTGCCCCCATATTTTATTGTTTTAAAAACATTCTAGGAAGTGGATCTGGTGAGTTAAAGAGTTTACTGTGAGCAAATCTCTGTGAATGTGAAATGGTGATGAATCTTCTGCAAATTGTGAGTGTGGTCTCAAAATTAATATTCTAAGCATGATCATGAACATGCTTGTTTCCTTTATATTAATGCATTTGGTTTCTATTTTTATTTTTATTTTTATCAATTTCCAAGTCATTAAGATTGCAGTTATTATTGGAAACAAGCTTTCAATTCTATCTTTTATGTTTATTTTGGTGTCTATGTCACTTATATACAAGCTTGTGATATGACTCTGCAGGTGGGGTGAAGCCATATTTATGGGTTTAAATGATAGTGGTCTTCTGGTGAAACTTCATGGTGCGCTCTCACCTTTATGGCCCTTTGAATGAGTAATATATGATGTATGTCTCTTGATTAAATTTTACAGAATCTCAAGTTTGTAGCTTAAAGAATTAGCGTGTCCATAATCCACACCCCTATCTAGGTGTGTCGTGTGCCTTTGTTAGGAAAAATGATTGCTCAAGAGATCTTGTTCTTGCCATGAACTACGAAGTAAGCTTTTTCAGTGGAAAACCAGCTGAGAAGAATATTGTTTCTATTTAGGAGAATCTACATGATTGGTTCCATGAAATGAAGTGTAAAGGGAAGCCCAACGGAAAAATTGGCTACAATCTGTGATATGTAGTACAACATACCCTGAAGTAATCATCACGTTGGACATTTTTTACATGGTGTACCCATGCCCAACTGTGTTGACAACTTGGCACTTCTGAAACATATTGAAGAATGCTTCTCTACTTACTCTATTTTACAGATATCAATAAGCTTATGCCTTCTTTTTTCTAACCTGAAGTTATCATTTACTTCAGTATTGTATTCCTCATTGATCTTCAGATGTAAATCCAATATGGAATATATATTTAATGTAATTATATGCAAATAAAGACACTTTTAACTCTCAGCCATGGGCAGATGTTCAAGCTGGTGCCCTTGTAAAGCATAACAATACTGAAAGCACATGACGGCTTAGATATTTTTTTTTATTTATGAAAGCACATAACAATATCGCAGTATGTATCAAGTATGAAACATTTGTGCTCATATAATTTATCCTTAGCACTTGAATGCAAATCCTGATGTACTTATCATGCATCATATAATGTCCCAGTGGATTCATGATTTGCTTCATGTGTTTCATTGCATATTCTGAATGATAGGGGATACTGGATCAGTCACATTAGATGCTAGCTCAGTTAGATTGGCACCATTATGGATTAATGAGCAGAAGTCATGGCAAGTTACTCTAGTCAAGATTGAGATGAACGATCTGGAGTTGCGTAAGGTACTGCTTTTTATCAAGATTGTTTGTCTTTTCCTTTGTTTCGTATTGATCTAGCACCCTTCTTTTAAGGGTCCATTTGGATAGATGTGGATTTCAATTCCTGTAATTGTCACACAAAAAATAAATAAAATCAAGGGATTTGAGGTTAAATAGATAGAAAAACAATGGAAGAAGATAAGTTAAGATACAAGATATATATATATATACATATTAGTAGGATCCTTGTAGCTAGAAAGAGAATTCTTAGCATTATTTCAAATAACTAATTTTATAGTTATTTCAAATCCATCATGATAAAGCTATTTAACTCAATCTTGAAATTCATAAGTAAACAATCATATCTAAATTTAAGTTGTTGTCCTTTAATGATTAAGGTCAAATCCGTTGATTTCAAATCCATATCTATTCAAAGGGTTCCTGATATTTTCATAGGGTTAATAATTTGCTTTCTTTGGCTTATTAATATACTTTTGTTCCATTCTGCGTTTTTTTTATTTTTGTTACCTTCCTTCAGGTAGTTGGGATCAAATCTAACAATAAGAAAGCAAATAATCTGAGTCAAATTGTTTTTGTGCCTAATTTGAAAGCAAAACCTCTAAAGAAAATACCAGAAAGATCCAGTCTCCAACAAATAACTGCAGATCAATATGCCTCAAATCATTCTGCTAATTATTATGTTGTTTGGGAAACCTGAAAGTTTTGCCTACTGTTTCAAAATGGTGTTCTGGTGGTTCATACTAGTGAAACCATTCTGCTAATTATTATGTTGTTGCTGCTGACCTATTGCTCTTTTCTGTGTATGCTGTACATTGTTCCTCTGACTAAACCAATTTTCATAATCATTAGACCATTTTTTTTTTGGTCTTTCAAGAAGATACGGGAATTATCTTTCAAATTGTAAAAAAATTCTATGTATGATTGGTTAGTGGGTTGGACACTTTTCGCACTAAATGACTGTTTTCAGGCTGCACTTTTATTCAGGTCTCTCTCTCACACGTGCACACGCACACACATACAGGCACTTCTAACACAGGCTATATTATAATTATTATTAGGATAATGGAGGAAATCTAGCTTTGGTGTTATTTTTTTTACCGTATTTTTTGTGTTGTCTCACTTGAAACTACAGTGCCCACTAAAGCTCACAAAGTACATGTCTGTTGTTGGTTGCAGTTTGAGCCAGCATCCATGAGGGGAGAGCTGGATGTAACACGGAGAACACTAGATTATTTCCTATAAATGCAACACTTGAATTATTGCTAAATCTTAAGCGGCAAGGTGTGTCTGCTAGTTATTTTTCAAGTTGGGAGCTATGTTTTCCAAATCAAAGAGCCTATAATTTTGGGATGATAGTGAAAGGGTGTTGGAAAGAACGTAAAATCAGCATTTAAAGGCTTCCTTTGACTCTCAGTTATTTGTTGAAATTGTACCGGTAAAGAGGGCTGAAGATCTTTAAACTTTTAGAATTAACTTCAAAACTATTGATTTTGATTCAGGGTTGAAATTCTTCACACTCAATGACTATAGCATCCAATTTGTGTTTTATTTCATCTACGTAAACTTGCAAATTTCATTGGCATTTCTAGTAGCTTCAATTTTTGCAAATGTGAAGACTACTACAGGTTTGGTATTCTTCATTTCATAATTGGTTTTATGGTTACAATAAGCATTGGGTTTTCTATTAACTGATTTATTGCAATTAGATTGCTGAAACTGCAAAAATGACGAAAATTCTTGTAATTGCTGATGAAGTTTATGTCCACCTTGCTTTCAGGGCTAATCCTTTTTGTGTTGATGGGAGTCTTTGGATCGGTTGGTCCGATTCTCACACTTGGCTCTTTATCAAAGAGATTGATAGTCCCTGGTTGGCGACTTGGTTGGTTTGTGATAAATGATCCAAGTGACATCTTCAAAAATCCCAAGGTTTGCTCTATGTACTTTTTCTTCTGATAATGTTGGTTACCATTCTCGATATTGAATTGTGTTGCCGATCAATGTCCTGAAAGTAAATGCAATATGATTTGTTTTAATAATTATCATTTAGACATAGATTTGTAAATTGTATCGCCTTGGTTGTTGGTCCTGATAAATACTCTTTGATAAACCTATTTTCAATCTCATAGATGTAACACTATTTGATATGAATCTATTTCTTGTTAGAGAATCTACAATTCCTCTACCCAAATATGCCAATAAATAATCATATACCATTGTTTAGTTGTTTGTTTTACTACTATCAAAACGTTTGTAAGCTTATTATGGTTCATTTATTTTATTGAGGGCAGGGCTCTAGTCTGCTATGATTTGGACTCTAAGCCAATCACTAGACCAGCACAAAACTAGGTACTATGATTTGGTACTGTGATTTGGTGTCTACCTTAAGATACTAAATGTTTTTGGTAAGGCTTGGGAAGAACAGTGTGGAGGAAGTATATACTGCTATATTACATCATATAGCTATTAGGTAGATTTAAGTTATAACAAATCCTCTCATCTTACCATCTTATCGACACCTAGGGATCTAATTTCTATTTAGTTACCGATTGATTTGATGATGATACGGTGCTGATTCGTTTGAAACCAGATGGATCCGTATACATGTATACATTCATAGCATGCTGATTCGTTTAAAATGCTGTAGTTTCTATTACTGTTCATAGCATGCTCTTCCAAGATTTACTAATGAGATTTAGCAGTTGTGTACATGGTTCAGGTTCATAGCATCCTCTATTTATGCTTCAGGTTTGTCTGTTACCTTTCTTTATAAAGGTGTGGTACAACTCTCTCTATTTGCCAGATTTTTTTTTTTAAATATAATTTCTTTCCTTTCTTAGTCTGGTCATGCTGGTTCATAGTTTCTTATCTTTCTAGCCTTCTTGACATGGTATGCAAGAGTAAGTAGATTTTCCAACCATTCAAGTTTATTGAAGTTGTGTTAATGGAATTGGATGATTTAGGTATATAATCATTATTTTGGTGAAGATGATGGGATGACTTGATGAAACTGATGAGAGCTTTGAAGTTATTTTCAGAGAATTTGGAGAGCACACTGAATATTATTATTATTTTTTTTTATTAAAATGAGAAAATATTAACAATTTTTAATTTTATTTTTTTGTATTGACATTTGTGTTTTAAAGGGTTTTATTTTATTTTTTTATGGAAAATTGAAAAATGAATGCTCACTCACATTATGGTTATATATTTTGAAAATGGTGATGGATTATATAGGTTTGGTTTGAATAGAAGTCAGAAGATCATTATTTATGATTTTGATTTTTTTTATGAAAGAAGGAGAAATCGTGGCGTTTTTCTTAAAAACGTTGCAAAATGTCGTCATCATTACGTCATAGATAACCCCTCTGCATAGTTAACAGCGGCAAAGAATTAGTGGCGTTTTAAAAAATGTCGTTTAAAATATTTAGTGGCGTTTTTGAAACGCCACAAAGATACAGTGACGGCCGTATCAGCGACGAATTTTAAAAACGTTGTTTTATCTTTTTGCGGCGTTTTTTCAGCCTATTGCGGCGTTTTAGAAACGCCGCTAATTCCCGATTTTCCTGCAGTGATTGTTGTCTAGGAAGACTTTTTTTCCGGCTTGCTGATTTCATGATTTGGTAACATGAAATTGTTGAAGTTTGTAGTAGCGAGCTACGTATGCATTAGAACAAACATATCCAGAGTAATACAACTACAATTCTGCAAGATTCATGGGATTTTCCCTTTCAACTTTCAACTGAATTTTGCTGTTATTTCACATTGATTGGGGGTTTCTTTCCAAGTCACTTTTAGGGCAACTTCTTGTCAGACTTGGTTGTTTTTATTTTTTATTTTTGGTAAGACGTGTTGGGAACAAAACAGATATCAATTGCCGAGTAATATGATTCGATAAACATTTCAACAAGCTGCAGAATACATTCATTCATAAGCATATAAAGTTGGTTGAAGTTATTAATTAATATAAAGTAAACATTAAATAATTACACAAACAAACATATGGAACTACATAATAGGCATTGATTATATACATTAAGGTTTTAAACATCGTTGTTATGTATCGGGATTGAGGACTTTCGATACTGTTATTCATTAATATATCGGTCAATACAATTCAATATCAATCGATACGTAACCGTATAGCTGATATCGATATATATGCCGACACATTATTTAAAACCACAATATATATAGACAGATTTAGTTAGGAAGCCAGACAATATTATCTTCAGGAAGAATATGGCAAATAGGGACAGTTCCTGGTTTGACCTTGAGCATTTGAAAAGCCTCGAAGTTGGGACTCCATGCTGCTGTATCTGTATGACACACTGCCACACCTGTCGCTTTTGTCCCGCCCTCCTTAGCATCTTCCAATGAAACCATGTACACTTTGGTCGAGTGCACGTTGTGGCAGGAAAACACCGCATATGGGTACTTGAGCATATGACACACTGCCACTTCACCACCACCAATCTTCTTGAATCCCACAACACTATACTTCCTCAATTGAGTCTCTTTTTCCAACTCTGTCGACAATGCCTTGACTCTTTTGCCAAGCATGGAAGTGCAGAAATCAATCATCGACTTTAATGAAGTTGCACAATATTTCAGCTCTCCTTTAAAGGCAGGCATCTCTGTTCAAACTTCGATTGTTTTTTTCATAATCTTGGCTTCTGCTGAATTGGGTTTCACAGAAAACCGGTTCAGAATTTTAGGAAACTCATTCGATGAAAAGGGCATCGACTGAGCAACTGTTCGAGGTAAGAATGTTACTCCATTTGCTTCTTTAGAGAGGTCCAAGTTCATCTTTGTGCCTTGTTTGATGTCCTTCTCCAAGAAATATATTGTTTCATTGGGGTTATAATGTAGTTGACGATTAATGCTGGCTTCTGCAAAAGTTTTTTCAATAAAAAAAATTAAAAAAGAAAAAAAAGACAAGATAAATTAGTTTCTGTGTTGAATTTAATTAGAAAGGCCTTTTACATTAATTAAGAAAAATGATTTTCTTGTGTTTAAGCCAGCCTGAAGGATTTTATTGAGTTGATTTGTATGATTAGGATCTACTTTGTGAAAGCTCAACAAGGCTGGGAATTTCATGATTAATTGAAAAGGAGGCACAGGTTGTCTACCAGCATCCCCAACCCAATATTCTCAACCAGAGGATGAAAATAATTTTTTTTAGAAAAAATTAGTCTAAGGTTCCTTTTTCATTTTTAGTAATAAAAGAGATCCACAATATTATTTTTTGATGTCTGAGGTCTTTCAACTCACACCCATCTATCACAGAGAAATTTGATATATTTCATGCTCTCTATTTCTCTTTTTCACTGCTCTTCTCTCTCCCATTGCTCTTCTCTCTCTCTCTCTCTCTCTCATTGATCTCATCTACTAGTTCAAAACCCTAAATCTTTCTCTCTCTCATTTCCTAGATCTATCTCTCTTCTCCTCTTCTCTCATCTTTGGCTTCTCACCGCTGCCGCTGTCTCCATCATCGCCTCAGATCACGATCGCCGTTGCCATCTGCATCATCGTCTCCCCACAGCTCAGCCCTAGCCACCGTCGGTATGCGTCGTCGTTGCCGCCTCGACTTCTTCCCACTGGATTCGATGGCGATACCGAAAGCAACGTCCTTAGGTTCTACAACGTCTTCAGGTTCAAAAGAAAAATTAGTTACTTTTATCTCTTCATTGTAAATGTATGTATCTGATTATGTTGACTCAACAACTACTAATCTCTTTTTCAAAGAACCTAGTCACCCAAAGAGTCAATCTGTTAATGATCTGATGAGGGTACTAATGACAGAAGACTCTAATGATGCTGGCAGCAGTTCCTTCTTGTTGGATGACAATTCCGGGTAAAACTTGTCCCTCTTCATAATTGATATGCTTCATAGTTCATGCTCAACCTCTAGGGTAAAACAGTTGGCAGGGAGCCACCCTTCCAACGTGGGTTTGAAACTTCTCCCTTCAGACCAGAACTCTACCCGTAGAATTTAGGGCTCTGTTTGATAGAATTCTGTAAAGTTAATTCTACCATTAGATTTGAGTGTAGTGTTTGTTTACGGTTTTCAAAAATTAATTCTACACTCACTTTTGAAAACTTTGTCCAAGGTGGGAAAATTTGGGCTAACCGGAACATCCGGCCGGTTGACCGAAATAGTGCGTTTTTAAATTTTTTTTTTTTTTTTTTACAAATGCCACTTGTTATTTTTTATATTTTAAATTTAAAAAAATTCAAAATTTTTTAAAATTTTTTATAAGCTTTGAATAGAATTTTGAGTTGTGTGTTTGGTTATGAGTTGTAAATTTTTGTATAAAATATTACATGTCATATCAAAATTTTCCTACTCAATTCAAAACTCATTCACCAAACAAATTTTTCACAATCAAATCATAATTCCAAAGCTTACAAACTCAAAATATAACTCTATTTTCAAATCATATTTAGAAAACTCTACCAAACGCAACCTAAGGTTTTAGAAATTAAATTTATGGGTAAAATTATTTTTTATAGACTAAGGCCAAGTTTGGCAAGTTGCCAAAAAACTAAAAAGCCAAAAAGTTACTCAAAAAGTTAAAAAGTTATCACTATTCACCAAAAGTCAAAAATTACGGCTGCACAACTCTCAATCCTAATTTTTCTCTAAACACTAATTTATATAATTTTTTAATACACATTTTTTCATAAAAAGTCAAAAAGTTAACTCAAACATCCATATTTTTTTTCTCAATTTTTTAGTTCAAAAAGACAAAAACTACACTTATTTAGGACACCCCAAACAACCCCTAAATAATTTTGTTACGAAAAGTGTCATTATTATATTTTTGGTAATAAAAATTAGATATTAGCGATGAATTATTATCCTTTCATAATCAAATTTTTTGTCTCAAAAAATAAACATTTTGAAATCAAATTATATTGTTCCTAAAAATCTATTTATTAGTGACATTTTTAAAATTATCGTTAGAAGTCTTGTTTTTGACTTTTCGAGTTGACCTTTTAACGATAATCCTCGTTACGATGGAAATTGGTTTATAAATATCTTTTATAACAAAATTTTTATTTTTAAAGACTAAAATATTTAATTTTTAAAATTCTTATATGTTGTAGTGACAAATTTAGGTGATGCTCTAACGTTACTATTATTAATTAAAACAATAGGTTTCACTACTAATTTATCCCTTTGGGGAAACAATTAAACATCTATTTAAATATAAATGGAGTATAATTTCTCCACATCAAGGCTAGATGCTTTCCACATAAAGCATCTCAGTTGTTTTTTTTTTAAACTCGGTATCTGACTCATTCGACTGACTATTCCATTCAATCCCACGTGTACGCTCCACTTTCATCTCAACTGTCCACCAAATCCTCAAACAAGAGTAAGTATCTTGTAGAGTTTTTTTTTTAAAATTTTTTTAAAGTGGTGTATTGTGTGGCTGAAATTTAATGACAAGTCATATCAATTTTTCAACATTAAATCTCAATCACACAATACATTACTTTAAAAAATTTTAAAAAAAACCCACTCTAAAAGATCCTTGGTGCTCAAACAAACCTGTCAAACTTACAAACAGTCAAAAAAGTCATTTTGTGAAGCACACAACGAAGCTCACTTGGAACCCTCAGTCAAAAAAGTCATTTTGTGAAACACACAACGAAGCTCACTTGGAACCCTCATGGAAACTCGGTATATGAACATACATGCACTATAACAAGCGCAAAAGCAAAAAAAACAAAACAAAACAAAAAATGAAAAACAAGATATCAAAGAATCACCAAATCAATCAATCAAAGTCCGATGTACAGTGCAAGAAGCACCTGAAACACAGGCAATCACCGGGTGTTTGCTCGGTTTGTTTGTCAGAGAGACTCTCTCAGTTATCTTCACCAAGTTCACGTACTAACACCACCACCATGGCTTCTTCTTGTTCTTCTTTATCTTCTTCCCATCACTCTTCTGAGTCATCTCCAGTATATAGTGTATACAGTTTGGCTTCGGAGGCAAAAAAGTCCATCACCATGTCTTTCTTGAGGAGTGCCAAAAATGTGCTTACAAAAAGTAAATCCATGGCTTCTGTTGCTCGAGCTCAAAGAGGAGAGGTTAGAGATGGGAAGAAGAAAAGTGGGTTTTGGTCGAAGTTGCTTCGTTCCAGAAGCAAGAAGATCAATGAGGGTGTGGTACACTCGAAGACAACAAAGGTCCATCGGTGGAGATTTCATCGGTTAGAAGTTTCCCTCCTGTTCTTTCTGACACATGTTTAATTAATTTTATCAACTAATCGTGGTTAAAAAAATAATTAATTTTATAATTATATGTGTTAAAATGTAATTTAATTTAAAATTAGAGTTCGTTATGTTTTATCAAAAGATTATGATGTAATTATTCAATTTGTTGGGCCAAAAAGTAATTAAAAGAAAGGGTGGCAGTAGATTATAATGTAATTATTCAATTTATCTTAAAAGTCTAGTGGTTACTATAGATTAATTTAATTAGTGTATATTAATTATAAAATAAATTAAATTCTGTTAAATATTTTTAAAACTTCAGGAAAGTAAAAATTAAGAATTCATATTAAGGTAAGCTATATTATAACTTGAGTTATTATAAACTATTTTACGTAAATCATGCTTATAAATTAGCATTTCAAATATATTATTTCTAAATAAACCCTATTTGTTTAAAATGGAAATTTATGGATATAAATTGTTTATTAAATCCGATTTTGATTTGATATTTGATGATGTATTGTGTAAGTACTACCACAGAGGTCTTATATCTTAGGGAACTTAAATAACCATTGGACTTCTTATTAGTCACTTTAGTGACTCTCTATTTGTCATGGATCCATTGACCTTTTATTCTGTTCTATACCGTGGTTATGATTATTTTAGTTATATGATTTATGCATTATATTTTTATTATTTAAAATAATTTATTTATTCGAACCAAAATATTCATTGATTAGCTTAAATAATTATCCATGGTGACTTTATACTCTTATACTTTTAGTATAATATTTCTTACCTTCCCATGTGTTTATAACTATTATACACTTTCAGGTGATGAAACTTAAGGAGAGGTTTTAATCCAATCTTCATAAGTTGGAAGTGACAGGGCAGGGCTTGGAGTGGATGCAGGGTACTTTGTCTAACTCTGACAATATAAATAAATAAAAACTTCAATATGTGTTTTAAATAAAATAAATATTTAGGTATCATTTTATTTTATTATGTTCTGTTATTAATATGTTAAATTTAAAATTAACCTTTAGTAATAGTAGCGATGTCTAACCTCTTGGTATCGGAGTTCAGCCGTGACACTTTTTTTTTTTTTTTTTTTTTTGGTTTAACGTGTAGTAGCTAGGTTTTTATGATAGACACCAAAAGAAAGAACGAATGAATTGAGAAAGATATGCAACATTTTAGGTTGTGTATTGATATGCTCATGCATTGGCTAGTTTTTCATGGGATTGTGAAAAAATAAAAATAAAAAATGTTTTGTTTAGTATAATTCTTTTAGTGAAATGTTGATAACAATTAACTATATGTTATTATTATTATTTTTTTATAACTATGTGTCTGCGTTAGTTTATGTATATCTTAACTAATTTTCTAGTACTGTGAAGTTAACTAACAATATATTATCAGTAGGGTCTTTCTATATCTATCTATTCTAATAATGTTAGAACAATTATTTGATGTGAACCTACACAAAAAATTTATGTGAACCAAAAAAAAAAAAAAAATGTCATTTTGAGTTTCATTGTGTAGAATCTACAATTCACTCTATATAACATGACAATAGAGTTAGGTTATATATAGTTGAGGTTGTAATAAATTAAAAATTGACATGTAAATCTCTTTATTTCTCTCCCAATGCACACTCTCAACCATTAAATTATATGGGAATTTTGAAACATGTGTTTTTTGAGACATGACTAATGATTGGGATTGCATTAAGACAGAGGAATATAGAAATTTTAGAACATGAAATCAGGTTCAAATAGAAACCAAAACAGTTTGTTAAAGGATGAGTACCCAAGACTCTTTAGTTTTTCTCTTTTTCAAAATGATTCAGTTAAATAATTTATGGAGAAATGGAAGGAAGGGAGTGGAGGGACGTTATTCTTATATTAGTATGAATAGTCATTATGTTAGAATGTTAAGAGTTTGGTAATGGAGATTTATATATATCCTTGTAAGTTGGTCATTTGAGATATGAGTAAAATACAAGAGTTGTATTTTTCCTTATCTAATTCTCTTCCAAATTTGTGTGAGTGGTTGTTGTGTGGCCAAGCTTATTTCTAACAAAGTGGTATCAGACTTAGGCTCTAAAAGAGAGAGAGATAGAGATTGTAAATGGAATGTTTCCATTTCAAATGCCTCAATTCACCAATGACAATTATGATGATTGGTGCATTTGTATGAAGGCAATATTAATTCTTGGATCACAAGTTTTGTGGGATCTTGCGGAAAAAGGCTTTACACAACCGAAAGATGAAACTAGCTTGAATCAAATGCAAAAAGATGCTTTACAAGTTACAAAGAAGAAGGATCAAAAGGCGTTTTCATTCATTCATCAGTGTTTGAATGATGCCTTGTTATAAAAAATTGTCACTTCAACCACTTCCAAACAAGCATGGGTGGTTCTCCAAACTTCTCATGGTGGTATTGAAGAAGTGAAGAAAGTTTGCCTCCAAACTTTGAGAGGTGAATTTGAATCTTTACGAATGAAGGATTCTTAATTAGTTTATGATTATTCCACAAGAGTTCTCCCCATTGTCAATCAACTAAGAAAATATTGTGATGAGTTGAATGATAACCAAGTAGTAGAAAAAAATCCTCCGTTCATTGCAAGGACGGACCACAATGTAGACTACAAGGGGCAGTGGCCCGTCTTTGAGACTATCCTATCAGTTGAATCCCAAAAAAAATGGTTTAGAAGAGCACTGCAAGACTTTTGTTTGCATGGGCCCCTTCCCATTTCATGTCTTCAAGAGCAAATGTTTAACCAATATGACACGTGTTTGAAAGAAATTGAAATTGAATATAATATATTTAGAGCAATACTATAAATATAATTCATTCTAACAACTGAATCTATTTTGTGCGATATTTGAAGTGTGTTGTTCGATTCTTATTAACTAGTTAAGGGACATGTCTTTATGAATAATTTATTTTTTGTTATTGTTGTTTGTAACTTTCTTTTTAAGATTGTGAAATTACGAATGAGTTTTTTTGGTTTATAAACGAATTATAATAAACCCAAAAAATAGATTCTAGTTTTCTAGCAAAAAAAAAAAGAAGTCCAAAAAAATTAAGTTCAATTGCACAACGCAATCTTTTGTAATTAACATGTGCTTAACACAAGCTAAATTTATTGAATTTGAATAGCAATTGAACTAAATACCTTAAGTTGGCAAGTCGAGTTTGGACAAGCATGGGCAATTTCAAGCATTATTAGAGCTGGATAAGGACAAATTTTGAACTCAATCCAACCTACCTAGCTTGCACCCTACCTATGGCCCCCCTAGTATTAGAATCCTAGTTTCGTCCCTGGTTCATTGGATTCCAAGGTTGACTACATTGTTGTAGTCATTGAAGAGTCTAAAGAGTTAGATTTATTGACGATTGATGCACTCATGGGATTGTTGTTAGCCCACAAAGAACGACTAAACAATAAGCTTTCTTTGAAGGAGAAAGAAGGAAAATAAGAGCATAGTCAAAGGGATCGAAGATATGGACATGAAAGACGTAATGGGCAAGGTCATGGAAGAATTAAAAGTAATGACCAAAATTCAAGATGGCAAGAAAGAGGCCAATACTCAAATCATTCAAGAGGACATGGAAGAAACAACAATTCAAGACCATATGGAAGAAGGTATGACAAATCTAATATTCAATGTTACAATTGTAATTAATATAGACATTATGCTTTCGGATTGTAAAAATGATGGTGTTGAAGAGAAAGTCAACGTAGTTGAAGACACTGATGAAAAAGTTGAGTCAACTTTGTTGTTGGCATATAAAGAGGAAGAAAATGAGACAAGAACGTGTGGTATCTTGACACTGTGCAAGCAACCATATGTGTAAAAGGAAAAATATGTTCATGGATTTTGATAAATACGTGCATGGAAAAATCACTTTTGGAGATTCTTCTCAAATTCCGATGGAAAGGAAAAGTAATATTTTTATTTATTTGAAGGATGGAAAGCAACAACTTATTTCAAATGTTTATTATGTACCAAACATGGAAAATAATATCTTGAGTTTGGGTCAATTCTTGGAGAAAGGTTATCATATTTGCATAAAAGATCATAGTCTTTAAGTAAGAGATGAATTTGAAAATTTGGTTGCTAAAGTGCATATGACAAGAGATCGAATGTGTGCGCTAAACATTCAAAGTGATGTGGCCATGTTTTTGAAGAGTTGTGTTAACGACCCGTCTTGGTTGTGGCACTTGAGATTTGGGCACTTAAATTTTGGAAGTCTAACAATGATGTCTAAACAGAAAATGGTGAAAGGACTACCTTCCATTAACCACCCATATCAACTTTGTAAGGGATGTCTGGTTGGCAAGCAAGCTAGGAAGAGCTTTCTAAAAGAATCCATTTCAAGATCAATGGAGTCACCTCGACTTGTGCATTCTGATGTTTGCGAGCCAACTATCTCTTGGTAAAAATCGGTATATTCTTCTCTTCATTGATGATTTCAATTGGAAAACATGGGTGTATTTTTTGAAAGAAATGAAAAAAGAATTTTGTAGTGCTTTGAAAAAAATTTAAACATTTGTTGAAAGCAAAGTTTCTTTGAAATTAAGGCCATAAGATCCGATAAAGAAGGTTAATTCACATCAAATGAATTTAAAAAAATTTGTGAAGAAAATAGAATTCGCCATCCTTTAATAATTCCAAGATCTCCATAACAAAATGGGGTTGTGTAGCTTGTTTTTCGTGCTCCTTTCGGATACGATAGCATTACAGTTTGGACTCTCGTCTGAACCATTAGAATCTTATCTTGTGGTAGAATTAGCGGTTAGGGGTAAAATGGTTTTGAACCATGGGTGCCGCGAGTGCGTGATTGAAGTCGCTGACTGCCGACTTCCTTTTAGTTTGGTGTTGTTAGAAATTACGGGTTTTGACGTCATCCTTGGCATGGACTAGTTGTCCTCTTATCATGCCATTATAGATTGTTATCATGGGAGAGTTATGGTGTGTACTCCTGGTGCTAACTATTTCTATTTTATGGGGGATAGAACTTGAAAAACCTTCGTGATTCGTAATAGATTTAATTGCAACAAATCCCAAACAATTAAAAATGACAATCTGAATCATCTAGCACGTATGAAAAAGATTTAGATTGTTGTTTCACAATTAATAAATCAACACAAATGACTTTTACGAGAAAAAAACCACAGTTGAAGCACCTCCAATTATGATAAAAAAAAAAATCACGGGCAAAGTGCCATTAATCAATCCACTATGAAGTATGAAAGATTACAAATTTACCAAACAATTTACCCAAACTCTATAAAATTGTTTTTAACAATTTGTTCCTTTTTTAACAATGCCTTCGCCTTGGAATTGATCTGCTTGATGTCGAATCCACAACATCCATGTCGAATTCACGACCACAAGCAACTTCGAACTCCTTCAAAGACTTTACACTTAAACCCTTGGAATCCACCGAAGAAGAACTATTTTGTATTGAATGACAAAACACAAACCCTTTGATTTGAACCACTTAATTCATGAGATAAACTCACATAATTATCAAAGGAAACAAGTAAAGAAGCTCCAGAAGAAAACCCTAATACCCCAGAAAAAGATCTGGAAGTTGTACCCTAGAATTGCACTTGTTCGCAACTTTATAGCAGACAGATTCGCGATCACCACTCGAGCCGTGAAATGGTCGCTCGAGCGGTGTGACTTAAACGTGTGTTTTGCAAAAGTGACTACACTCGAGCGATGTAAAGTTTGCTTGAGCGTGAAAACTCAACTCCTGGTATTTTTGCAGATAGGTTAAACTTCTGATAGGCTTGCATCTTTACTCGAGCAATGTTTTCGTTGCTTGAGTGGTCAAGCCAAAAACTACCAAATTTACAACTCAATGCGACAAGTTTGTATGCGGAATTGATAACCTAACAATCTCCCTCTTGTTGATTCCTAGACAAAACAATCTAACAAAAATTGCCTATCAAACACATGCACTAGACACACCTCCTAACAAACACAAAAATCCAAAACTAGGCTAAAACAACCCTAACCATATTTAGAACAAACTCGAACAATCCTCTTGCAAAACAACATGATCCAAACACTAGAAATAAGATGATCAATCAAAACAAACATAATCAAAGCAAATGGATAGAAATCAAGATAACCAGATTAAATCAAATCTATCAAATCCAAAGCATGATTAGTTCAAGTCAGT